CAAAGCTGTGAACTGCTGTTCCTATTCATATAAATAGCTCTAACTTTTTCTTTGCGACTTTGTGCAGAGGCAGAGCCCATGTCGACTGTGTCTTGCAACTGCACTGACCATGTTCTGTTTTTACAGGATTGGATGAAATGCCTTCAAACTTTCTGCAGTAACCTAAGGAAAACCACTCAGCCCACCTCCAACAAGAGGCTTAGACAGGTACATATACCCTCAGCCAGTGTGTGCTCATGTGGACAAAGTAAGCAGATGGTCAAATCCAACAAGCCAGTAAAAGGGTATTTAGCACTCGGGTGTAAGACCACGATTATTGAATATTGTGAAAGCCAAATATGAAGTTCAAAATTTATTCAAAATCCAGCATTATTGTGACAGATGGCCACATGATTAGAACGACTTTATCAGTTAAAACAGTTTAAAAAAAACAACAAAAAAACACACACACACACACACACACACACACACACACACACACACACACACACACACACACACACACAAAAAGACCTTTTATCCTGACTGGCTTGACTCATATTTACTTGTTGCAGCATAATAACACCATTCCCACACAAATTTTAAGCCTTAGTGTTGTGTCTGCCAAATGAGTAAATGTAAATTTTTGTTTTGATCCCACATCTTTAATTTTAGATGAGCCATGTAGTCGGTAGTAGCGTATTTGCATTTGTCAGCTAAAGAAATCTATGTGTATGTTATTTTTCAAAAGTCTGATGAATTGACACAGTGAAGCATTAATTACTTAAGTTAAGAACATTGTTGAAATTGAGTTACACCTTTCTCTGGATATGTTTGGTGTGCTAAATCCTTATTTTCTGTCAGGTGAGCAGCCTAGTGCTGTATGTGGAGGAGGCCCACAAGCTGCCGGTGAAGTATTTCACCAACCCTTACTGTAACATCTACCTGAACAGCGTCCAGGTGGCTAAGACGCACCCTAGGGAGGGGCAAAACCCCGTTTTCACTGAGGAGTTCATCTTTGAGTGAGTCTGTCGTGTATCTGCTTGCGTATTTTTCTCCCTTGGATTTTTCCGCTGTTTGTCCTCCCTCTGTATTTTATCCTCCTCACATTCCCAGCTGCCTATCTTGCTTAGAATTGATAATATTTTCTCTACTTGTTTACAAAATTACAAAATGTATGTGTTTGTCGTTTCAGTGACTTGTCAAGTGAAATCAACAGATTTGAAATCAGCCTGAGCAACAAAACAAAAAAGAGCAAAGAAAGTGACATCTGTAAGTACCTCTGTAAATTTTAAAACGGATACAATCTCTGTAAGTCTCTGCATTCACCTTATCTCTTTTTCTTTCTCATGTCTCTCCCACCTTTTCTTTCTGTCTTCCTCCACACCTCAATCTCTCTGCCTCTCAGTGTTCATGCGGTGCCAGCTGAACCGTCTGCAAAAGGGCCAGATGATTGATGAGTGGTTCCCTCTCAGCTCCCACGTGCCTCTGAAGGGCATCGAGCCAGGCTCCTTACGTGTACGTGCCCGCTACTCCATGGAAAAGATCATGCCCGAAGAGGAGTACAGCGAGTTCAAAGAGGTCTCATCCACCGAAAAGTGGTTTTGATTGCAATGTCCATTAAGTTTTCTGCTCTGTTGTTCACTTGAAATGACAATTTCATTGTTGTGTGTCCTCTGCAGATGATCTTGCAGAAAGAGTTCCATGTCATTTACGCTCTGGCCCATGTGTGTGGTCAGGACCGCACACTACTGGCAAGCCTCCTCCTGCGGATCTTCAGACATGAGAAGGCTGAAGCCCCCCTCCTCAGGACACTCAATGACAGAGAGATTAACATGGAGGGTAAAAAAACCACATACACAAAAGACAGGACTTATGTGAACCTGACAATCCTACTTGATAGCAACACGTCAGTCTGCAGTATTTTGCAGGGCTCAGTTAATTGTTTGATGTGTTCATTGAGTTGTGTCCGCTCAGAAATGTGTACAACTATGTGCCCATACATTTGCATAACCCCCTCTGCTCGTGCACTGTTAACAGACGAGGCCACAACATTGTTCAGAGCGACCACGCTGGCCAGCACCTTGATGGAGCAATATATGAAGGCCACAGCCACACCCTTCGTCCACCACGCTCTCAAAGACACCATCCTCAAGATCATGGAGAGCAAACAGTCCTGTGAGGTAAAGACCTACAAAGGCTTACTCTCTCTCACACTCACTACACTATAAGTCCTTTAAGTCTACCAACCACTCCTTTATCTGCGGTGCAAGGTTAAAAACATGGCATTTATGTGATATCAAAGCAGCTGCTCCACACGGTTGCTGTGTAGTTCCAAATAAATACATAAAACTGTGACACAGCTTCAACATGCAGTCTCAAGGCTGCTCTTTGAGCCTTAATGCCACAATGAATATTTTAAATCGTGTGGTTCTTATAGATTTCATACACCCACTGAGATGAAAGTGTGTAAGTTATTGTGTTTCACAGATGTTTTTCTTAACTTGTGTAGCTTTAAGTTAAATAAAACAAATATTACAAATTAATTTACCAGTGGCTGATCCATATCTACACAATACACAATATTTATCAACATTACATGCATGTCATGCACTGAATCTTTTCTGCTACTGTAGAATAATGAATTCATGAAATTAACTGTCTCTTATCTCATGGCTCACAACCATACATTGTGAATTTGAATTAATCCATCTTCATTTGTTCATTTGTTGTCTGTTTCCCCTCTCTTGCTCTGTCTCTCTTCATCTGTTTTAAGTTGAATCCTTCAAAACTGGAAAAGAATGAGGATGTGAACCTGAACCTGGCTCATCTCCTCAACATCCTGTCTGAGCTGGTGGAGAAGATCTTCATGGCTGCTGAGATCCTACCACCGTAAGCATATATACCCACACGCAGCTTTGTTGTCCAGTTTTGTCACTAAATCATTTGAATTAGTACATTAAACAGAAATGCACATTTTAAGCCCAAGAGACTCAAATAATGAGTCATTGTCTCTCTCTCTTTGATGACCCATCCAGGACACTGAGGTTCATCTACGGCTGTCTGCAGAAGTCTGTGCAGCAGAAATGGCCCACCAACAACACCATGCGGACCAGAGTTGTAAGGTAAACAAACACCTGTGACTAATGTGGCCTCCACTTCTTTTCTTTTGAAAGTTTAACAGCGGTCACCAAATCTTTGTCCTCCATTTACCATCTTTAATTTTGGCATGCGATACATTGTTTTTTCTGATGCTGTCCTAACCGTATCCATTCTTTATCCAGTGGCTTTGTCTTTCTAAGACTGATCTGTCCTGCCATCCTCAACCCCAGAATGTTCAACATCATTGCTGGTGAGCATCCACTGAAAAGCATACCCAAAACCTTCCTGTTTGCCATGTGACATGTTACAATGTGTGCTTTGCGCTGCCATCTCTTCTCGCAGACCCTCCATCCTCAACAGCAGGCAGGACCCTCACACTGGTGGCCAAGTCTGTCCAAAACCTGGCCAACCTGGTTGAGTTTGGTGCTAAGGTATGAATTCCTTCCCGGAAACAGTAGCATTCAGTAGAAGTATTGTTTTTATGGTGGACATGTCAGCAAAACACTTTTTGAATATTGTTGGTGTTTCACAGCTGTCTTTTTGTTCTCAAACAGGAACCCTACATGGAGGGTGTGAACCCTTTCATCAAAAACAACAAACATAGGATGATCATGTTTCTAGATGAGTTAGGGGTGAGTCACATGGACAGAAAATGAATTAGAATTTTTTTGATAATTGATTATTTCAGTAACTTTACATCTTTTTAAAAGAGGGGATTTTATATTTTTCTTCATTAGAGAGTAGAGTCAATATTGTTGGTTATAGATTGTTTGTCAAATCAAGCAAGCAATTTAAATATTAGTCATATTAGCCTCTGGGAAATTATGATGGACCTTTACATTTTGTAGACAAAATGATAAATCAAGAAAATAATCAGCTGATTAATAGATAACAAACAAAATAATAATAATAATGATAATTTGTAGTTGCAGCTCTGACTCTGTTTCACAAGCTTAGACAAGTCATGTGTCTGTTTTACTAGAATGTCCCTGACCTCCCTGAAGCCACAGAGCACTTTAGGACAGACCTGTCCCGGGACTTGGCTGCACTGCATGAGGTCTGTGCCACACACTCAGACGAGCTCCGGACGCTGAGCAACGAGAGGGGAGCGCAGCAGGTCAGAGACCCATGATATCTCGGCTGAGCACACGATTTATGCCACCCCGTTTCAGAAGGTTGATCTAATTCCTCTTTCCTCTCTGCAGCATGTGTTGAAAAAGCTGCTGGCCATCACAGAGCTCCTCCAGCAGAAGCAGGCTCAGTATGCCATGTCCAACAGCAACAGGTAGTACTGCACTCCTCCTCCCATCTTCCCATCCTTCCGTCAAGTCTCCTCCAGCGGAGTGCAGCACAGAGGAGACCTAGCATGCTCTACCCTCATCACCATGGCAACCCCTCCACCTCCACCCTCCATCATGTCCTCCTCTGATAGTCCCGCCCATCCCCACCCACCTGCCATCTTGTCCCGTTCACCACAAGAGAGCTATGCAACAACAGCGGCTGAGTACAACAACTGATGCAGTATTTTAAAAACAAAAAGAAAAAAAAAAAACTTGCGCCAGTGACTGACAGCTGTATGCACAGGAAAATTATTTTTCCTTCATAAACTGTGTTCATGATTCTGACTTGGGTACATTTCATTCCCTTCATCACAAGGGCCAAATATAAAGATTTCAAATGAGGTTTCTTTGTACCCACTATGTGTTTTGACAGCACAGGTTGCCAAAGTGTACCCCCCCCCCTCCCCTTCTGGCTCAATATGAGGAAACTGACAAGAAGAAGCTAGTTCTCTCGGTCCCCTTTTCTGGTAACTGGATTATGAGCGATAATGCTTTTTATACTGTAATTAGTGACTGATTTATTTTAAGGTTGTGACAATATCCGCAAAGTGCTGAAACTAGCATTTCTGTCTATTTGTCTTTTTTTTTTTTTTTTTCTTTCTTTGGTTTCTAGATTGGAACAAAGTCTTTCAGAAAAGTATGGTTATTTTATATTAAGAATAAATTCTCTTGCTGGAATCATGAGTATATAAGAGAGATGAGCTGAATTTTTTTTTCCTCCGATTGTATCAGCTATTTTTTGATTATTTGGTTAAGTCTTTTTTGAAACTTCTGAATGCCAGACAAGACACATAATCAGAGAAACCAAGTAAAATGAAAGTGTTTACAGCAGTAAATTTTTTGGAATAGTACAGAATGTATCAGACATGCATGCACTTATTAAACAGTTTTTGTAAAGTAGATTATGGAGTCTTTCATTGTCCCCTGACAAAGGTGGAGAAATGTATGTGGCTTTGTTACTTTAAAGGAATATGTCACCATTCTGCCTTTAATCCACATAACCATGACGACAATATGTAGAAAAATATCTTTATTCTCACTGCAGAACAAAGGCAAACCAAAGATTGACTGCAGTGTCATGTAGAAAAGTAAATATGACATGCATACTTGCAAACTCTTTGTGACACACTATTGTGTTTTCTAGGTTTGGTCAGTGACATCTAAATCCTGGAATTAAGTAGTATAATAACTTAAAACTCTGTTTGATTCCACAACTATGTTGAGTTCATAGCAGGTCTTCATCTGTCCATTCCTGAAATGAAACAAAAGTTGAGCCGATTTAGGAAGAATTCTACCCAAAAACATGAGGCATTTACCTTGGGACAAAGTTTGCGTGAATGTCAGCCTGTAGCTACACACTGTCTCACCTCTTCTGCCAAACGTGGTTCTTTTGCTACATGGCCATCTTCTTCATACCCTCGCTTTCGTTTGCTGCAATACAAAGACATTTTTACTATGAGAAGTTGAGTGTACAATTAGTTTTGGAAAGAAATCTGTGTATCACAAGTTGTCTTTGCAAGCCGTAATTGTTGGTGAACTGTTGGTGTTTCATATCTTCAGTGTTTATGTGAACTGTCCATTATCAACACTCAGTTAAAGAGTGACATCTAGTGTCCACTACATTTTCATGATCACCATGAGTAGTCCTAGTTCTCCATGTCTCATTTTTAATTGCTTCATTGACTTAATTTAGACTAGTTTACACCATGTCGGAATAGCTATAAACAGACTGATCCTAATATACGCCAAAACAGTGATTCCTAAACGTGTGCCTTTCACAAACAATTCCACTTTATCTTACAGGACAGAGTGCACCATCATGTCACTGGCTGCTGCCATCCAGGTAATGTGAGTTTTACGGATTTCCACCCGAGAATCAAAGTGTGGTAGTCAGACCACACAGCCAGCCAGCCAAAGTGAGGCCTCACCCCATGAGGTGCACGACCGAAGACTAAAGTCAGTTTGTATTTATAAGCATGTGGCCTAGATTCCTGGCAGTTCAAACGCAATATGGCTGTTCTCCATGGGAAACCACTTGCTGCATATCTGAATACTGTCCTTCCAAAGCCCTTCCCAAAATTCTTCAGACACCAACAGTGTGTTGAACTGATCAAACTTTGACAAGAAGCCTTGTCACGTACGAGATGATTTCTATGAAGATGGACCTGAGATACAGTCAACTGCAGAGAAGTTTGAGCTTCTTTTATCCTGGTATGCCTGCCACTCCCTCACAAGTTTCACCAGTAATGGCTGGTGACTGACACGGAGCCAGAAAAATGGGGGCACACTGATTAGCCACTGCTTTACTTGGACAAAACTTGTGAGGACATCAGAGGGGCGGCAATCCAAAGCATTGAAGTAGCTTTTTCTGCCGTCATCAGGGAATTTAAACATAGCACCTCTCTCCAAGACGACACAAGCCTTAACTCCCTCTCTTCACACCATCCTCTTGCCCACATCACCTGAGTTTATGATAAGCTCTTCCTTCAAAACCATTTCCACCATCTTTGTGTATGAACTACCACGCAGCACTCGAACCACTTGTTTTTATATGCTGCTTTGTTTGTTGATATATACTTAGGCTTGTATAGAAGTAAAAGGTGTTTGTGTATGACATAGCTGAACAGAACTGAGGGATAGTCTATGAGTTTGTAGGAGATATCTGTAACCTTTCCTGTGCATGTGTTAACCTTGAATGGATACTGCTATAGTGTGTGGGCCTACATATATGCTGCTCTAACAAACATCACCTGAACTCCCTCTATGCCTTGGGGATGTGAACGAAAGCTTTCATGCATTTTGCAGTCTCTCCTGCGCTGCCGCCATCACAGGTGGTGTTTTCAGTACACCTCTGCACCAACTGTTTTCATATGAATTCATCCTGAGAAGTCATGCCATGCACAGATTGATCAACTTCTAGTTTGTAAGGGTTGGCCTCACGTGCCTCCTGATGATTCAAGCAGCTGCAACGTCTGAATCTGTGCCTGTCATAGCTCAAGAGTTTACCAGACTGTTTACTGTAGCTGCACTTAAGATACCACGGACCTCACCGACCTCACCAAGTGTTAACAGACAAACTGGCGACAGATGCGTGATAACGAAACGAGCCTAAAAGTCTCCTCATCAGCGATACCAATATCAGCTGGGCTTCATGGTATGGATGATGTAGGTAGGAATGTGGCGTGCTGTTGTATTTCCTTTCTGTATTTCATACAGCTGATGATGATGTGTTCCTTTTTATTTTTCTACCTGATACTGTACCTTGAACCTTTTGCATCTTAGATACGACTACCTGGCTAAAATAAAACTGTTACTACATATGACAGTGGAAACCTGGAGTTGTTCACTTGGGTGTGGGGTATAGAAATTCAATCTATGATTACAAATGCTACACAGTAAAACTGGTATTATCACACTGAAACTTAAAATATACCTAGAATTACACCACCCTTATTGCATCTTAATATGAGAGGTAGATAAAGGACTGATGTTGATCATTTGTTTATAGTTTCAAGTGTTAAGATTTCTGCGCTGCATAATAAGTCACAAATTCTGACTTAATATGACAATATATTACTATGTGCCTTGGATTTAAGAAATCTCTTAAGTATGCACTACAACAAACATGAGCAGGTCACTTCTCCTTACTTGCTTGAAGTGGCAAATTCAGCATGAATCCTCTCCAACCTCTGTTTGTAAGGATTCACCTCCTCCGATTTGGGAAGTTCATACTTCTTTAGGAGGGTTTTCATCCCTGGATGTACAGAGAAAAACATTTCTTTAAATCTCACATAAGACCTCTACTGTGTACCACAAGGCAACAAAATGTAAAACTGAGCTCAATATCACCATCATGTGGCTTCAGACTGAAAGTGCAGTTTACTCACGTCTCATCGAGTCATACATCTTTGAGAGCGTCTCTTTGTCCTCTCTCAGTCCCATGCATTCAGTCAGGTAGCTGGGAATTTCAAACAACAAACAAAGTGGATTATTTTCCATTAACACATAAAAGAATGAAAGCAGCCAGTTGATTATCAGGACTCAACCTTTTCACATGAAATTTTTGTTTTAAAATGTCACTGACACTTTGGTGCAATATACAGACAACAGAACTAATTCAGAGAAATTTTACCTAATATATCACATATATCAAGCATAATTAAAAAACAATCCATGTAACATTTAATTGTGCGTTTAGGGTCCAATTTCTCCATTAGCAACTTACTGTGCCTGAATTTGCCTGTTTGCATTTATTGTTATTGAAAACAATTTTTAAAAATAATCCAAATATTCTTTTACTGAAGTGAAGAAGGCTCTAAATTCTCATTGGATTCGTTGGTAGTAATAGACAGGATAAACAGTATTTCAAAATCTACCAGATCACTGTTAAATGTTTTCACTTGAGCACAAATAAATGGCCCACCTCTCCATACTGAGACCGGCTCTTGAGGCGCTGTTCAGAACAGCTGTCAGAGCGATCTGAGAGGGGGGAAACAGCAGCCCTGCGTCTGTCATGGTTGCCTGAGTCAGAAAGTCATCAGCACTCTTCCTCAGTGATTCTGGGCTCTCCAGCGTGGGGTATCTAGTCTGAGGCATGACATTTATGAAAAGGCAATAATTAATTGAGACAAGACATATAATCATAACTTCTAAGTGAGCTAGATTAGCACAGCAACAGTGTATGCGTTCAAAAGTAACATTTAAAACTCTCTCGGAGCCCGCCCACCTTGAGGTCAATGAGCAGGCCCTCCATGGGTCTGTAGGGGTTGTGGACCACCAGGTGGAAATTGAGCTGTTGGATCAGCAGCAGCTCATACTCCAGGATTTGCTCCAGAACCCTCTCTTGTCCAGCAGGGCTTTCCTGCAGAAGGTTGCCGACAAATTGTGTGCTGGACACGTTGAACTCATCCACCTTACAGGACAGGTACGCACAAGTAAGCCTGAAACAAGAAGGTGACTTTGAAATAACTTGAATAGACTGGTAAGAACGAGCCCAAACAATACTTTTTAATCAGCAAGTTTGGTTGTTGTACACATACCCTATGCAAAGACAAACTTAATCTTTTCTAAATACCACGCTTAACAATTCCTCCTCTTTTAGCCTTTATAATACTTTACTCAACACAGAGATGAGCCTGGATTGATGTGCGATAATGAACTGAATAAAACAGTGTCGTGTTCAAGTGTTCAACTGAACTATTTCTCCACCTAACATCCATCTACCTGCATCAGTAGAAAAGCTTCTTTTCCAAAATGGAGCTGCTTCAGTTGGGAAAAATACCACAACACTTTATCACTTGTTTCCAATAATGAAGATCTGATAAAATATTGGGAACTGGCACATTACATGCACACACCTTTTTATACTCCCCTAAAACATATCTCTCAGTGCAGTGCACTGTTCTATTTTGATCAGATACAGTCCCTTTAAATAAGGCCCATGATCAGCACTATACTCACATGATAATCCGGGGGTGATACTCCATAATAGAGTTGTTCAGGTAGAATCTTCTGAAGTACATGATGGCTGTACCCTGCACAGGTGAGACACACATGGTTCACACGTCTTCCCGCACTAAGATCACACTGTTGTGATGAAGAAAGTTCATAGTACTGTACATACCACCACAGACTTGGGCATTGCAGGCTTAAAAGCGTTGCAGAAATCCAGCAGCCTCCTCTCATAGTGTCTAAATAAAACGTCTTCTTCGTGACGCTCCAGGAACATGGACTCACTCACCCCGGGCTGAGACACACAGAGACAGGAGCAGGAGTACGAGGTAAAGCAAACTATCACACACTGACCTGTTTCCCTGGTTTGTTTTTATATGCCGCTTACCTTCCCACTTTCTAGTATCTTGTTACGGAATTTATGATTGGCCTTGCATCTCATATGCTCAACTTCGTCTTCACTTTTAAAAATCCAATATTTTCTCTGTGAGCTGTTGTGGAACATGGTCGCAGAAAACTGCCCGATACAAGGCGAACAAACACGAGCAGGGAGCGAAAATTAGACTTGGTTGACGGCTCACAGTGCGACAGACTCGCGATAGCATCAATTAACTTAAGCTTTTTGTTACTAAATATACGTTAGTCCATTTAGTTCCCGATTTGAGTGATTTCTAAAAATAAAAAGAAGCGAAAATTGGCAATAACAAAGTTGGTGCGCGTCGCCACTCTTTTACGTCAACGCCGTCCCCTTCTGATGACTACCGTAGTGTACGCTACACTGCGCAAAAGAAACGGGCTTCTCTCTCTCTCTCTCTCTCTCTCTCTCTCTCTCTCTCTCTCTCTCTGTTTCTCTCTCTCTCTTTCGCACACACACACGCAGACACACACACACACGCATGCATGCACACACGCACACACAAAACTCAAACAATCACGTTTTCGTTTCCCTTATTTTTAAGACTTAAATCTTATAAATATTAAACAAATAACTTTGCCTGTGAGGTAAGAACAATTTGCAATTTGGATTCATTTTTGCAAATGTAGCAACTAACACTATTAAAACCTATATCAATTATTGTAGATTTCAAACATAGTTAAGTGATACAGTCTATACGTTATGCTTAACATATTTTTTTTTTATTAAAATGTATCACTACCCTTTGCGTCCCACTGGTTGAGAGACTTTCCATGACAGCAAGCCCTAGCCAACATGCTTTAGAAGAACAAAATAAAATAGGGAATATATAGGGTGAATAAATAGATAAAATACCAAGGTTTGTCCACAAATATAGGCCTACACTCACTGGTGTGTTCCACTAACTATCCATATGCTTCAGGATTTTCCCCATACCCGGTTTGCACACTTCTCTCCACTTTTTTTCTTTCTTTTTTTTTCTTTTCCCACCCCCAGATTGACTACCTGGGTGAAACTTGACAACTGAGCTGCTTCATGACCATGTGGGTCAAATGCTTGGATTTTGGATCATTTTAGATGGAAGAGCAGAACAGAAATTGAATCACGCAGTGTGTTTAGAGGGAGCCACTCAACCCCCCACCAGTGTTTCCGTATACCGTAATTTGCATAAACATGAGTAATTTATGAATAATAAATGCCCGTGCATTCGGCGGGAGCCGTTAATTTGCATATCACCACAGCTACAGTTTTATTTCCTTAGTGCGGTGTTATCATGAAGCCCTTCGAGCCTGCATAAACCAGAATCAAAGAAATAATGCTTTAACAGGTATGTGCTGGAGACTGTTTTATTATCTTAATCTCTTTCTCTACAGGCAGAAAAGATGTGAACTTTTATGTCTGAGCTCTGTCTGTGATAGGCTTGTGTAACGCTATACGTTCAGTGTGCGCCGGGCTTAGGATGCATCTACAGTATCCATCGCTCGGTCTTGCCCTGTAAATTGCATAAACATGAAGTGCCGATGCATTATTGATGAGACCATGGCAACGTTTACTGTATGTGCGCGCGCTGATAGGGCGTATAATGCGTGCGTGCGTGAGTGCATGAGTGACTGCATGTAGCCTACGTCTGTGTTGTCAGTCTAACCAAACATGTTTCCCTCTGCTATTTCGCATAATTCTGCAACAAACAAAAAAAATCTATATATTTACATACGTGTGAATTTGATATTTTTTGGCTGTACAGAAGAAATGCTTGGATGCTACTGACACTGAGGCAGATAGTAAAAGTCTCGTTCTCTGTATGAGTGTGTGTGTGTGAGGGGTTTTGAAGAGAGGCACAAAATGTTGGGTCAGGCATGTGTGCCACTGTGAGTAAAGATTGTGCCTATATAATCTGACAGGCAGTGTTTTATGGGAAATCAGACCTGGGTGACTTTGTGCCATCACCAGATCCCCTGAATGATATCTGAGCCTCCCTGATCAAGTTAGTCTCATCCTCCTTGAGTAAGTTTGCACTCCTGTCTGTTATATTTCAGCTGCATATGAAAACCTCTCCAGGCACAGAGAAACGACTGCAGTTCCTGTACACAAAGTCAGCTAAAATTCAATCGTTGACCGACAGATTTGTGCTGTGTGAAGCATCACCTTGGCTGTACACAGCTTTGTAAACTATTCATGATGATGATAATGCTGAGGAGGAGGAGGAGGAGGAGAAGGAGAAGCTGTAGGAGGATAATCCCCACCCCGTGGCCCACCTCCCCACCGTCTCATCTATGAAGTTACTTTCTTGTATGAAAGGAAGGAATTTGGAAATAACCTTGACAACGATGCAAATGATGTCTCTGACCAATGAGCTTGCTTAATCTCTTTTTCCCCTTCTCTGATATTCCTCGTTTTTGCTGCAGCGTTCAATCCATTTCAGCTTCACACACCAACAAATACAATTAAATCCTCATTCAAACTCCCTGTATGTGCATATTAATTATTTTGCCCTTCATCCTGCACAAAAGCCCCCCCCCCCCTTAATAGTGCTGCGGTTGCTGTGGCAACCAGGGGTGGCAGTGCTGATGTCAAAGACTCCTCCAAGGACACTCATACAGGCGCTGGGTCAGGTGATATGTACTGCTGCTGGGCATCGGCTAACACCCAAGAACAAAATGGCCACCATTCTCCCCTCATATTTTTTGCTGCATGGGAGAGTCTCTCATTGGGCTTGAAACAAAAGAGGAAGTGCACATGATACCTTTCTGTTTTGATGATATGTGTGATATGGATGATGTGGGATACTCTCACTGTGACTGGTGTGACCAAAACACATCACAGAGATGAGTCGTCTGAGCCCCTCAGATATCAGCTGCCTGCCCGAAGAATTCAGAAATCTGTCTGGCTATTTAAGTGCATTCACATCTGTGTGTGCCTTTGTGTTTCAATGTGTCTGTACATTGGTTTCCTCAGGTTGGCATTTAACAGCCCAGGGTTTTTCGTTCCCCTCCCCCCGCCCCTCCAGACACTCAACGCTCCCCCACCGTCTCCCTCTCTCTCTGTCCCTAATTGAGCTTTGTGTCTACCTCCATCTCCATTCAAATCCAGTCTCATTTGCATACTGCCGCCGCGTGCCGGACAGCTCCCCAGCTGTACAGTACAGAACTAAATGAGGAACACAGACCCACTTTACGTGACGTGAATAGTAAGCAGAGAGGAAAATCATTTTCCTGTTTCCTGAAAATACAGCTACCTGAGAGATGAGGGATGGAGAGGAGGGAGGACGGTTGTATCAAATCAGTGCATTCACAGCGAGGCAGGCATTACCAGTCTGAAAGGAAATGCCGATGTAGAGGCAGAGTTTATTATTTATAATAAAACAAGACACTGCAGAGGGTGTCATATACTATAATTCGACATACAAGTAGCCAGATATACTATGATATACAAATGAATTTGCTGATGACAGCCATTTTTACAGGAGTGTCAGTATTCAGACATCAATGCTTTGTTGCTCCAATCTGAATGTGATTTCAGATTTTTTTCAGAAAATTCTGCTTTAAGTTCACATCACTAACATTCTGCAGGAAAATAAAGGAATTAGCCAGATTTTTTGGTACAGGTCTGACATGATAATTGCTCCCGTTTTGCTCAAATATTGCTAGGTTTAATTTGGACCCAGCTGCCTCTTGGCTCTTCCCTCGCTTCAGTCCTGTTGAGGCCTGATCCTGTGCTCTCTTGCACTTCAGCATTGAGGAATTTTAAGGACATTTTGCTTGAGTGCATAGAGACACGTAATTATGTTGTATTTTTGATGCACTCGAACCACACTTAACAGAACGTGTTAAGCACACCCTTAATGGGAACCTTAAAACCCCAAGGCCAATTTTCATTTCTAGCATATTGGTAGGGATTTGTGACATTTCAACTCATTTCAGGATTCAATCAAAGCCATAGCTCTAGGGACAGCAAAAATGGCATGCTCTTTATGGCAAATCCAACTGTCCTTGGTTTGCTATATGCATACAACTTTTTCCTCCACAGTCATACCAGTGAGAATTGGAGGAAATTTGATGACCCATTTTAACTTTACCTTGAAGATAAATGCAAACAGTGCAAAAACGTTTCTGATTTTTTTTCCCTCAGTGAGTTTAGATGGAAGTGTTTTATTTAGAAAACAAAGTAATTCATGCTCATTTGTAAATGGTTGCTAGGATTTAAAACACGGGGGAGTGAAGAACACACATTGTGCTCCATCATTCTGAGCGTCTTAGCTTTGAGTGAAATGTAGAGAGGGACGGATAGAACGGTGTTAAAGTGCAGCCATTCTGGTGAAAACCTCATCCTTCACAGTGCAAAGCTCCAACAAGTCCTCCAAATGACCCTTTATATCAACGTGCTATGCCCTCACCTTTCTAAATAGCCAGGCCATTTGGGTGAAATGGATGCATGTAGTGTGCTGCGAGAGTAATATATGGCTCGTCTCCTCTCTTTTTCTTACCAAAGTGCTGGAGTGTGTTTATGATTTTGAACATGAATGTGTCCTACTATTGTGTCCTACTATTTGGGCTGAATGTTGTGTTGTGTGGCAGTTTTTTTTCCCTTACAAAATGTTTAATTTATTTAGATAATATTTATATATTTTCTGTCAGAATTACATAGGTAAAGTTCAGTTTGCAACTGAAATTCTGATATTAAAGTGACCTTTAATGCCACAGTGGAGTGTACAAAACATTATGCTTTAAATTTTACATTTAAAATGAATGCTTTTTATTTATTTATTTATTTATTTTTATTTTACATACGAATTAATTAATTTAAAAATTAGACACCTGCAAAAAATCAGCCATGATTTTTTAATGGATGTGTACATCACTAAAGCAAAGCGCTATACATATATATATATATATATATATATATATTTTGTGTGTGTGTGTGTGTGTGTGAGAGAGAGAGAGAGAGAGAGAGAGAGAGATTTGTACATCAGTCTGAATTTGCTCACAGTGGGGGGTTATGCATCTTAATCTAATTAAGAACTAGATGCCTGAATATAAATGAGGAATTATGAGCTTCAAAATGGGGGAGGGGAATCGTGTTTGATCAAGTCAGGTTGCCCAGCAACCCAAACCATTTATTTCAAACAAAAAAAGCCCTCTAAGATTTAATAATCAGGTTGTCTGCATTAAAATGCAAAGGAGGCTGTCAGGCTGCACCTGAAGGACAGCAAAAATTAGGCAGGGTAATTTCCCGACTTACAGGTGAATTGCTGACCTTCTGCGATGAGTGCTTGTCAAAATCAACACTCAAACACTGCAAATCAGCCAAAACAAGCTTTTAAAATGTAGCT